AAATACTTAATACAATTTCAAGGAAAGTAGAATTCCAGCATGAACAGCTGGCCCCTAAATTAACTCTTTTTATGGTTACTGTTTAAAAGCAAAAAGGTCTTTGATTTTTTTAAAACTGCTTTTGCACTACATAATCCATTCCCCCACTGATGAAACAGTTAACGTAGAAACCCTACGCAAGGCCTTACCTGAGTCCTCATTAAATATTTTCTTTTAAAAATACATTTTGTAGCTGGTGTTACCAGCTGTCCCTAAATCAGCTGACAACCTACCAAAAGAATAGTAAAAATGCCAGTCAAAAAATTAAAGCCAAATTGCTCACCATCTTAAAATAAGGAGAAATTTTAAGACTCCTCCTAACATTTGACATATGCCCAGACCGTAATCTGAACGGTCCCTTCACTTAGTGGAATATTTTTAGCATAAACTGAAGTTAATATAGATTGGTGTCAACTACCACCTGTCACACAATGCTGGAAAGCCGTGTCACCATGCGAAATGGACGAGGGGAAATAAATAACCTGCAAAGTGGTAGTCTGCAAATATTGACACACATGACCAGAATTCTAGATAAATGCTAGCAAACATGGCACAGGTCCTAACTGAAGGGCTGGCACATCTCCGTATCCTGGTTGATCTGCTTTTCATAAATCTGCTTAGCACTAATGACTAGAATGCATTTTTAATAAATTAATTTTGAATAGATGGTACTCTGGAGAGAAGTTGGGACTTGCCTTCCTGTTATTAATAGTTAAAATGGAAGCATCAATTTAGGAACACATCTGCAGCTGTTGTAATAGACAGTCCCACAAAATGACCCCCACAATAGATGACCCTGATTGCGCTGTAGATTTGCGTAGTCCTTAAAACTGTTCCGAGGGTTTTCGCAGCCATTATCATTTTTGAAAAATGACCCATTATGTCTCCCGTATGTGTTTTAAGCTGTTTATCCTATAGTCATGACAAATATAGTCTTATCCGTGCCCTGCCTTTATGTGTTCTGAACAGCGGACGTGCAAGGCAGCTCACCGGGGCTGGGGCTAAGTACTGTCTGTGACGATGGGATAGAGAATAATAGTTTAACTGGGACAAAGAGGATCAGGGGCTGTGTGCCTGCTTTATCCAACTGACCTAAAAAGAACAAAGTCTGCATCAATGCCTGTAGGTTAATCCCTGGGATCCCAAAATCTCAAACATAATGTTTACATGAATGCCAATACTTTTCTAGGTCACCAATGCCTAAAATTGGGTGACCCAAGTGTGAGAAGTAGTCAGACTTGGGTGGCAGAAATTGCTGCTTTAAAATTTTTCCTGCATCCCAGACCTAATTGGGTCTCCTGAGACCTAATTCCTTGTGGTCAAAAGAATGTCAACTCCCAGAGGGCAAGAACAGGCTCTGCATCGTTTAGTATTGAACGGCACAGCACCTGGTGGAGTGCCTGGCACTTAGTAGGTACTCAATACATTTGTGTTTTAGGAATTATTGATTGAAGGAATGGATTCTGTGGTTTCTGCTACAAGTAAAATAGATTCATTCTCCCACTTCCCATGTTACCCCTTGTAACACCCACTGTCAGTCTGTCCCCTTTTTTGCAGTGACCTATCTTCTCAGACAACTGAGACTGATGTGATAATTACCATTTGCCTTACAAAAATAAGAGATAATTGTTTCCCCTGCATTCACTAAACTCTTAGAGATGTCCAAGAAACATTTGCTGCATACACATGCAGGCCTCATAATATCACCATCAGCCTCGTATTGAAAATTAATGACTATTTCATAAAATATTGAGACCTAAGACTGGCACTTAAAACAAAATTATCCTTTTCTTTTTCCTTAAAACCGCTCCCGATTAGATAACTGCCAGACTCCAGTAATGCTGTGAAATAACCCTGCAAACACTCCATGATCAGAGTGACACAGCGTGCCTCACTTTCACGCTAGTGGGCTGGTGGCTGGTTGCTTCTAGCACCCATTAGCATGAGTTAATGAATAAGCATTCCCTTCCCTGTCACATTCCTTGCTGTTATTAGCCAAAACCTGAACTTTAGCTTAATTGCAGAAACCAGCCCGCCCATGGCAGATGAGGGCATGGTCCCCATTGTTGTGATTGGATTCAAAGTGCTAATTGGGGGGACTATGACAGATAACATGCCCCCAGCACGACAGAGAGCAGCAGGTGGGGTGCTGGGACTATGGGTGCAGAGAAGAAAAATGGCATTCTCCAAGCCCCCAGGATTTGATTTTCCTCAAACTTACTTACTCAACTGTGCACAGTAAACTAGATTTCCTAAGTATCAGAGAACCTTACAGATCCAGCTTCTTAGATTTTACCTTAGACCCTTGCCGGCCTTTCCGAATTTGGAATTGATCATTGCATTGACTCCACTGTGCTCCCCATTCCGCCTCACTCCAAATTCCCTGCTACTTTCCTGAAGCTTTTGTTTGCCTACTCAGAGATTTGGTTTCTTTGGAACTGAATCAATTGAGGATCAGAAATATTTGAGATTGGATGCGTTCAGAAACTCTGGCTTTTGAGTTTCAAATTTTGTTAAAACTCATGTATTTATAGGGCACTTTGGTTTTAAAATATTTGGTATTTTCAGTCTCTGTATTTAATTCACACAGTTCTTTTACTGACTAGAGATCATTTCTTTATGCTCACATTTCTTTATCTTAGAAACAGACATAATCATACCAAAGTCTGCTGGCTGTCTGTATCAATTAGGATTATTTTGGTTCTGAGTGACAGTAAACAGCCCAAATGCATTAAGCAGAAAGGGATTCTTGACACGCAAATAATTGAAAAGTCCAGAAAAAGGGCTGGTTTCAGATGCACTGTAATTTAGAAGCTTAGATATCATGATGACTTGTTTCTTCACTACTCTGGGTTTAGCTCCACTCTCCTCCTTAGGATTGGGACGACAGCGCCATAGTGCCTTTCTCTGAGCCTCATATCCAATGGAGAAACAGAAATTGTGCTTCCTAGACTTGAATCTCTGACCTTGACTGGCCAGACTTTGGGTCACATGCACACTCATGAACCAATCACTGTGGAGAGGGGGCAGGTTCAGTGTGATGATTGGATCATCCTAGATCACGTGCTTCACTCCCGAGCCTGTGGGATGTAGTTGGCTGAATGAAAACAATATAGGCTAAGAGTTGGGTGGGTATATGCCCAGCAGTATTAGGGTACTGCTGCCTGTAGGTGGGAGAGTGGATACCGGGTGGTATAAACAACAAATATCCACTAACCCACCACAGAAAAAGGAGCAACACTGAAAAGAGTAAAGCACTTTGAATCTGTTGAATTAAAAAGCAATATGAATTTACAGGATGCAAAACCCTTTTCTTCATGCTGACATAGGGAGATAAAAGTGGCACGTTTTACAAACTAAGTGTTACTTGGCATTTGTCTGAGTGATAGTGTTGTGATTCGACTGATGTGACCAAGACTAAATTAAGAATCAAGAATCTGTTCATGCCATATTGAGATCCTCTTTTGAAACTTTATATTTATCAGCATGGGCTATTGTAAGAAACAAGATGGTTGTCATAAATTGATCAACACTCTCTGGTCTTCTGTTGTTCTTGCTTACTATGGACTTTGGGAAGAAGTCAATTAGAGAAGTTCTTTAGCCAGTATCATAATGAGTAATGGGAACATTTACATGATTGCTAATGGCTGAGTTTACACGATGCCTCAAAGCATCAGTGGGGATGTTTGGCGGCAGCACATTATGACGGTGATTATCACTATAAATTAAGTTTATGTTGATATAATTAGCAGTTAAAAGCTAAAGTAATATTTATACTGATACAAGTTCTATCAAAGCCATACCAGTGCAAACAGGCTGTGAATGTTGATATCGTGGGGATAATTTCATCTTGCAGGAGGGGATGTTTCTAGAATTGAGATAGCCTATTGGTATATAGTTGCCCCTCCCGCCCCTAGGCAAAAATAGAAAGGATAAACTTGACCAAATTGCTTCACAAATTCAGAATCTGTAATTGTTCAGCAATCCCCACTGAGGATAAGAAAGATGCATCTTGGCAGTTTGGCCTTGAATCACTGAACCTGGAAAGAGAGCGGGAGAAAGGGAGGAGGAAGTGAGAGGACATGGGATGCCCAGGTAACTGGTTGTGAGCACAGGCCCACAGCGACAGAGACAGAGTCTTGCCATACAGGATCATTTGTCACAAGGGAAACCAGCTAGGAGAATGGGGAGGTCTCATTAAAAGCACCTGGCTGTGAGCTTATTACATGAGCATTCTTGAGAAACTGTGGCTGAGGCCAAGAATCATGAACCATAGTCTTCATTCTCTGCCCTAAGAGGTTGAAGGTTGTAGCAACATTTTACACTTTCTTTTTCTTTTTTTTTTTTTTTTTTTTTTTTTTTTTTTTTTTTTTTTTTTTTTTTTTTTGAGATGGAATCTCGCACTGTTACTCAGGCTGGAGTGCAATGGCGCGGTCTCAGCTCACTGCAACCTCCGTCTCCCGGGTTCAAGCAATTCTCCTGCCTCAGCCTCCCAAGTAGCTGGGATTACAGGCACCTGCCACCATGTCCAGCTAATTTTTGTATTTTTAGTAGAGATGGGGTTTCACCATGTTGGTCAGGCTGGTCTCAAACTCCTGACCTGGTGATCCACCCGCCTTGGCCTCCCAAAGTGCTGGGATTACAGGTGTGAGCCACCATGCCCAGACGACACTTTACACATTTGAGGTCACCAGCATCAGATGACAGTTCTTTCCTCTGAGAGTGGGCCAGATCCTCCTGATTCCAGGTCCTCAGCACAGTATCTAAGGCTGCCAAACAACTCTGGTTTCTTCTTCATGTCACATGCTTCGCAGGTACTGTCCTTAATCCATAAGACTATCCCCACAGTTGGCGGGATTCTCTCTACTTGAGGGATAAAGGGATAGAGTGGAGGATAGATAAATGACTTTTAAGAAGCTGCACAGTAAGTGGTAGAGAAGATGGTCACGCCTAAGACTGGCTGGTTTGGGAGCCATTTTGCCCCAGAAGCATTTATTCAGTCAGCAAATATTTATTCATTCAACACATATTTTTTGAGGGCCTGCCATCTGCCAGGTACTTTTCTAGGAGCTTTATATATATATCGGTGACCTGAATAGGCAAAGACCTCTGTCCTCTGGAAGTCTGTATTTCAGGGCTCTCTCTGGATGTATGTGATCTAGGGCGGAAGCCTAGAATGCTCATCCCATGCTTGCTCAAAGCCCTCACCTGCAGGGCTGCTTGGGTCAACATGCTCTCTAGAGGGGTTCATGGTGGTCTAATGTCTCTCTCTACCTGCAAAACAGCCGGAGAATTAGCACTTTGAATACAAAAAAGAAAGCAGTTTGTAGCTTTTGCAAATTTGAGAAGTAAGAAATAATGGCACCAGCTGGCCCTCAATATCCTCTTTGGACAGGGAAAGTTGTTTTTTGTGCCTGAAATGGGAAGAGAGAGAACCGGCATGCCAAACCTTGAATTCAGTACGGCCAGCTCTAGGTGACTACCTTGACCTGCTTGCACTGCTGTAACAGATACCATAGACTGGGTGGCTTAAACAGGAAGACTGAATTTCACACAGTTCTGGAGGCTGGGAAGACCAAGATCTAGGTGCTAAAGGATCTGATATCTGGTAAGGGCTCCTCACTTCCCAGTTGGCAGAGACACATTTAGTCCATAACAGTGACTAAGAGAACTGACATTTCCTGAGGACCTATTAGTTGCCACACAAGTTATTTAGGTCATCTCATTTAATCATCACAGCAGGCCAAATGGAGTGGGAACTATTTTTCCAATTTTACAAATGAGGAAACTGAGGAATAACTAGTTAAGTAACCTGTCCACATGGATTTTAGTCACTGAGCTGCGTTTCAGACCGTGGCCCATCCCCTGCCACATCTGAGGTGCCTTTTAACACCCCTTACCTAGGTGACGGGCACTCAGAGGAAGAAAGTCAGCAGCCTACCTGTCCAAGCAGGAAGTCCTGGGCAGGAGGAGGTGGCTCCCCTCAGAGGGACACAGATGACTAGACTGTCAATGAGAAGCCAAGAAAAACCAGAGAGGTGACATCTGCAGAAGAGAAGGTCCCTTGTATGCTTTAGAGGTGCTAGTGGCCTCTAAAGTGATAAAGAAAGGTTTCCATCATCCAGACAAAGGAGGTTAAGAAGAATAACAACTGCAGATGTGCAAGAATAAGTATAATAATTAGCTAGGGGAAGAGATCCACTCCTAACATTTTAAGCTTTACTCAAACTGGCCATGAATGGTGGCTTACGTCTATAATCCCACCACTTTGGGAGATTAGGGTGGGAGGATTGCTTGAGCCCAGGAGTCTGAGACCCTCCCCCTAGGCAACATAGTGAAATCCCGTCTCTATAAAAAAATAAAAATTAGCTGGGAATGGTGGTCCTAGCTACTTGTGTGGCTGAGGTGGGACAATCACCTGTGTCCCAGAGTTGAAAGTTGCAGTGACCCATGATCACACCACTGCACTCCAGCCTGGACTATAAAGTGAGATCTTGTCCCAAAAAATAAAAAGGAAAGAAAGAAAAAGATTTACCCAAACCAGCAGTATCTGAGAGAGAGAACTAACACTATTCATTATTAGAGATCCTGGGTGCTGAGGCTGAAAAGGTTCGCTGTCCCCACTCTAGAGATTCTGAGTAATCAGAAAGAAGGTGGGTGACAGTGACACTCATTCTTTGACTTCAAAGAGCTGGGAAGACTGGGACTTCCCGGCACCACTGGGGCACTGCCTATGCAATATTTGTCAACAACATTTTCTGCTAATGAGACCTCTTAAAAACAAGCAGGGTTGTAAGTGAGGAGCAAGGATCTATCCAGAAGGGTGGGTGGTCCACCCTATGTAATGATGGGGCGCTCCAGTCTGGTGAAGCATCACCCTCCCTTGATGTTCCTTCCATCTACCAAGAGTAACAAGTGTGTTTTCTACATGAGGATTAGAATTTGCTGGAAGACTGGAAGGCCCCAGCACCAGAGACTATCCCACTAACAAGAATTCCCACCTGGACTGGTCTCATCTGGTCTTTTCTGACACCGGAGCAAACTCTGCCCCAACCTTCCCTTAGGTCAAGGGACCCTCTGTAGTCAGAAGAGCTATGGACTAAGCAGGAAACCTGGGTTGCAGGCCCCACGGAGCCACCAACAGGGCCTGTGTGTGAGGTGGGCTGTGGATGGTCACCTTCTGCTTCTGGACCAAATGCCTTCTCCCTAAAGTCCTTTCTCCAATTCTTACAGCCATGGCATCAAGCACAAAGAGCATGCTTGTGATATCACACAGGCACACACTCCACACACACCAATACACACACACACAAACACAGACACACACAGACACATGCCCACACACACATTTCCTTTCAGTGCCCAAGTACGAGGACAAACCTGTTTTCAAAGTGAAAAATAAAGACTCAGAATACCCTTTCTTTCGCATTCCCCCAGGCCGCCCTTTCTTTGGGCACATCTGCTGGAGTGAAGTGAGAGCAGGCTGGGCTTGCTGGCTGTGTGGGTGTGGCTTCAATGCCCGCCCAATCCTTCCTCCATGCTATGCTCCTGCCGTGTGCACTCGGGCAAGCTGCTCTCCAAGGGCACAGCATCCTCTGCAGCAAAAGTGGGGTGGCAGCAGTTCCTGCCTCGCAAGACTTTTGTTAGGATGGCTGGCGTCCATAGATTGGAAGCTCCTAGAACAATGCCTGACACCTACCAGCAGACAGAGTGATGTGTTGGCTCCCATTACCTCTCCAAGCCATCTCCGGGTAAACCTCTGGCTTTTTTTTCTGCTGAGATTTCTTTTCTTTTCATCTCAGCTCTTGGTCCTGCCAACTTAGGCTAAGAAATGTACTGACAACAATCTTTGAAAATTCCCAGCAAACGCCTCTTTTCTAGCTCTGCGTTAGTAACATCACATTTCAGTCTCTCAAACAAACAAAAGCAGCCAGCCCAAACCCCCCCGACCCTGCGCCCCCCGAAGTCACTTGGAAACACAAACATTAAGGCTGTGTACTTTGGTGTTGGAGGTGATTTATGATTTGGGCCTAGGGCTCTCTTCCCCCAATAATAAGCACAGAAGAGGAAGGGGTGATGGCTGGCAGGAGTCTCTGTTGGAGAAGTTTCTGCTAACAGTGGCCTTACTGTTAGGGTGTTGCCTGTTCACCAGAACTGGGGGATGTCAGCCCATCGCAGGAAACCACCCAGAGAAACTGCCTGGGACAGGCGCCATCTGTCTGCAGCCCTGTCATTTAGATAGTCAATAGATCAGTCCACTGGGGCTGAGCCACAAGCAGAGCTTGGCTTTGATATTTAGGAAGAGGAAAGATGCCTGACAGCTCCTTTCCAGGTTACATTTGCACTCCTTGACTGTCCTTTGCTATTGTTTCTAGAAAAAAAATATATTGATTGCGAAGTGTTCCTTTGATGGTGTGTTCTGTCAGCTTGCAAATAAATTGGGTCTGAATCTAGTCTCACATTCACACACATACACCCCCCAAAATAAAGCCCTTCCAACAAATTGCTTACATGCTGAGGCTCTGTGTTCCAGCAAGCCTTCAATTTATTTTAATGGACAAATAATAAATCCTTCCAAAGGGGGTATTTAGAATGGAAATGCTGATAGGTCCTTTAATTGTGACATGCTGCCAGGCGCTGCTTTGACACGGAGCGCTGCAGTGTGCCTGGGGGATTGGATGGCATGCATCAGGACCATGGTGTGGGAGGGGCCACTAAGCTCAGATGCTGTGCCTGGGCTCAGGAGTCTCACATTAGTGCGGGAATCAGCAGCACGGAGCCATGGGTCCCAGGCTCATCAGAAACAACATGTGTACAACTTGTTTTCAAGGAACTGACATTGTCATGGCCTTTGTGGTATGTGTGCTGACTGATCCCCTGCCCCCCACCAGGCGGGTTCCTCGGTCTTCCTTGTACTCTGTGGAACGTTGTTAATGTTGCCGCTTCGAGTCATAGGATGCTGGGGTGGGAGGAACCATCTGATTTCTAAAAGCATCAGGCTGTGAGGATGGAATGGTCCAGAGAAACAGCACAATAGCTTGATGTCTCTGCTCTTGCCCCTCTCACGCATGTAGGATCGCTGCCAAGGTCTCACCCCTGTTAGGTCTGGAGGGCCCCCATCTGTAGCAGTTTGTCATCTGGCACCTGTCACTGTCTTCCTCTCTAGTTGCTTCTAGGTGGTGACAGCCTCTGCTACCTAAGTTGCCTGAAGGTTCCTCCCCACTGCCACTGCTCCTGCTCCCCGGAGAATGCCACATCGCCCAATGCTCCCTGAGGTCTGGAGGCTTAGGGTGCCGGAGAGGAGCTTCCTCCCTTGCCTTCTGCTGGGGACATGGACTGCAGGGTGTGTGCCCCGTGCCTTTATACAACTAACCTCTACCAACTCACAGCCACACTGATGTAGCTGTGTGAGGCAGGCCAGGCAGCAGTCCACTTACACCTTCACTTGGGTGCTCTGTCCCCTGCTCCTTCTTATCCCTTAGTTCGAAGCAAAACCTATGCAAATAAGCTTCTGCAAATAGTATTTTTTCGGACTTGCTCACAAGTGATCAAACACACTAAACTCTCCCTTTAGGTTCAACATAGTATTCCTGAAACATCTATATGGAGTCCTAAGGCCTGGAGAGGTTGAAATGTCATCTTAAGGATCAGGAACATCAAGTTTTTTTGTTTGGACTGGCCTCAATAACCCTTTGCCTAAGCTCCTGGAGGCTGCACTGCAGGGGTTGAGAATTAGACACCTGTGCACCCCCTTGGTCTGGTCTCTCCCATCTGATCCCAGGTTGACACATGGCTGTGAGAGAGGAACCTCTTTCCCTCCTACTTCAAGGTGGATCCCAGTGTACAGGCACGCATGGGAACGATCTCCTAAGTTCTCAGTCTTCTCAACTTTTCCCTGCATGCTGAGGCAAGGGCATTTAACATCTTGGAAGTCTCTGGGCATTTGTTATTGGATTCTTGTGAGCTTCTGATTTAATCCATCAATTAAAACCATCACAACCGATGATGAAAAAGAGATTGTTCCAGAGAATGCTTGCTATCTACAGTAGTATGAAAGCTAAATGGACAGAACACATGAACTGCACGGAACCAAGGAACACAGGTAGGGAGCATGTCCAGTAGACATGGCTTCACATCCCAGAATCACCACTTACCTAGGAGTGTGGTCTTAGGCAGGTCATTCCTCTGAGTGCCAGTTTCCTTACCTGTAAAATGGAAACCTCTGCTCTAGGCTGCTCACAGAAATCAGAGGTAAGTTAGGTTTATACACTCATAGGCACCCATGTACACACTTTCGTATATTCACCTTCATGACAGCATTATTCACAACAGCCGGAAGGCAGAAGCAACCCAAGTGCCCACTGACAGATGAAGGATAAAGAAAATGTCGTCTGTACATACAATGCAATATTATTCAGCCTTAAAAAGGAAGAAAATTCTGACAGGTGCAGCAACATGGGTGGAGGAAGAATTATACTCAGTAGAATAAGCCAGTCAAAAGGACAAATATCGTATGATTCCACTTATATAAGGTGCTTAGAGTAGTCAAATTCATAGAGACAGAAAGTAGAATGGTGGGTATCTAGAAGGGTGGGGAAGAGAGAGATCTTGTTTAATAGGCACAGAGTTTCTATTTAGAATGATAAGAAAGTTCTAGATATGGATGGTGGTGATGGTTACATAGCAATGTGAATGTATTTAATGCCACTGAATTGTAACTGACAAAATGGCTAAAATAGTACATTTGTTGTGAATAGCTTACTGCACATATACACATACACACATACACTGAAAGTCACTGTCGGTGGCACACTGAGTGTCTGGCACATGTTTGGAAGCTCAGTAGATGGTTGCTGCGATCACCATTTGCAGGAGACTGGAAACGGGTCTGGGTCCACTGTAAACCAGCTGGAGCCATGTGTGTGATTCTCTGTGTTGCCCTTGCTCCGTTTGTAAAAAGATGGCTGACATTTCTCCCATCTTTCCTTTGTGCCGTCCAAATGAGATTATTGAATCTTTAGGTGATATTCAGGAAATATTTTGTTTGATAGAATCATTGACAATAATGAAGCTAAGATCAATTTGAAACTTTGTCAATTTGCTCTTTGGAAAGAGAATTTTCTGCCCTCGCCTTCTGCCTGCCCCAAGCTGGATTTCTTAGACTTCCTTTAAGAAAATGCTAAGTAACACTGGGATCTCCATGAGGACAAATTACTTGGCCTTGGCTTGGAATCCACAGCCTCTCCTCGGCCCATAGAGGTCTTTTTCTCACAAAAAGTCCCCCAAAGTGAGAAAGCAGATTTTCTTCTGTCCTAAAAAGTGTAGTTCCAGCCTGATCCTGCCTGAGAATGGTCACTAAGAAAGCAAAATGCATCTAACACTAACAGAGCCCCGATTCATTGCTTCCAGAGCCTGTAGCGTTTTATACTCACTCCGCAAGCATAATCAGGGGAGTGATTCTGAACCTTGTTAATCAGAAAGGGCCCTTTAAAAATGTCATGCTGTCAATATAAAACTTTGCTAAATTGCATTATAAATGCCAGATTCAGTCAACTAGCACATTTAACACCGTTTCTTAAGTACAGTTTAGATTTTATCCGTGCCAGGGAGAAACAGAAGAATACCTCAGGAGAGCCCAAGCCTGCGGATTCATTGTGCTAAGCTCACTTCCCCCAGAGAGGGATTAGAAATATTTATTCCAAATCCAAGCTGTACTTCTGGCATCATTGTCAATAAGGTGTCCCCCCAATGTTGCTGGCTTTAGAACTGGATGATTCTCACAGCTATGAAGGTTAGAAGGCTTTTAGACTTGTTTTTTAATTAGCGGGCAATGCCTGAAGCTGTTGCTTCATACCAGAGATGAAAGGTTTCTTGCAAGTCAAGAGCAAAACGTCATGCCCACACCTGTTAAAAATAAGGCCTTATTTATTTATTTATTTTTACGTCTGCAGAGTCCAAAATAGCCCTCCAATGTGAAATGACCTTGTCCCTTGTTTTCGGGAGAATTCATTGTCAAGTTCACAGAGAACTAACCTTTCTCCTCCTCTCCCACCAAATGCGGCTATTTCTACCCTGTTTTGACATTATGTCTTTTTCTCTCCTTTTTCGGAATAGAAAAGGTTTAATTGAAAACTTACAGCTTGAAGTTTGGCTAAACAGCACTTTAAGGATCTGAAGATGGTGACCAAACCTCATGATTTCCGATTTTAAAAAAATCTTAAGATAATGAGATGATTTTTTCCGTGTTACATGCGTAAGCTCATTCCAAGATGAAAGGATCTAAGTACACACAGCAGGATAATATTTTAAAATATTAACCAATTTCCCCCCTTTCCTCCTGCCTGTTCTTCCTTTTACCTGTTCACCTCTTTCAAGCTAGACTGTTCCAAATTCATTATCTCAGGAAGCAGTGACCTAGGGGGATGCCTGGAGTTTTTCCCTAGCTTTTGAAATTCAAAAGTCTTGCCCTGAGAAAAAATGCAAAGAACTTGTAAGCATTATCAAATAGCTAGCATTTCCTGAAAATTTTCTGTGTTCTATGCACTATTTAAAGCACGTTTTTATTTTATTTTATTTTATTGCTTTTATCTACAACTCATTAAGATAGGCACTACTAATAACCCTATTTTACGGATGAGAAAACTGAGGTAGAGAGAAATGGAGTATTTTGCCCATCATAGCATCTCTGGTGAGTAGCAGGATTGGCTTACTACTGCAGTAGTGTGTTCCAGCACTCACATTTCTAACCACTGCACCAAGCTCCTTGTTAGTGTGCAGGAAGTTCTTGGGAATGTGCTCAGTATTTCTACCCATGAAAAGGAAAAGACTTACGCAGCATTGGATAGGAGAAAAAAATTGGGCTCTGGGGTGATGTCAAGAAAGCCTTTGGCTGACCAGAGGAGAGATCTGAAGCTGGAGTGACCCTTCAGAGCCATTTCAAGTTGGGGCAAAACATTTGGGTCTTCATACTCCTGCATGGACGAGTCATTGGATGCAGGCTGCCCTGAGACGGGTACGGCTTTGGATGGAGGCTACTCTCTTTATTTGCGGCAATCCCCATGGGGGCTTCCAGCGGAGGGCTATCTTTCAGCAGCACTCCCAGTAGGTGGGTTGGGGGGAAGTCCTTCAGTCCCCAGGCCCAATCTGGATGGCGCACCAGTGTCCACTACAGAAAGGAGAGAAGCCAGGTAAGGGTGCAATTCCTCGCTTCAGCCTGATCTCTCAAGGGGATCTGAGTATAAATTATGCCTCAGAGTGTGTGCCAACTGGAGATAAGAGATCTGAGCTTTTAAACTCCCTCACCCATTAGTCTTTGGCTAAACACCTCCCTGGGAGTGGGGAGATTTGGATCTAAACTCTGAGACACTTCAGGCTCTCTGCATGTGCATGTCTAAGGGTAGATCTCAGAAGAGAGTCACAGGTGCACACCATTAAAAGCAAATGTACACAGAGGCCAGGGGACAGGCACAAAGGGACAATTTAAAGAATCCACGTGATTACCCACTACAGCTCCTATAGACCCGAGAGCATTCCCTGAACTGGAGGTACACAGTGAATCAGAGGAGAGAGGCGAATCGCTAAGAAAAGGTGTGCATCTGCTAAGACAGCACTGAGTCCCAGGTGGGCTTGAGGGACATGAGAGCAGAGGGACTCTCAGCCTCCCTCTCAGGGAGAGCCTTGTGGGGAAGGTGGACTCCAGAGGAAAGGGGGTTGTATGGAGTCTACATGGGGCCTTGGGGAGCTTGTCAGAGAGGGATGTAGCCGAGGATTCCCATGTGCCTGGGAGAGGAAGGGAGGTGGCTGGGGTGTCCTGGAGTTCTGAGTGTCCTAGGGTGGACAGGAGCAGTGGGATAGCCCTGTGACTGGAGGAGGACAGAACATTAGGGTGACACGGGAGAATGCAGCCATCTGTGTGCATGGATCTCTGAGGATCAGACCGTGCAATGGCATGCAGTGGACGCCAATGTGAACACAGAGCAGTGGGGACCCATATTCTGCCTGACATCTTGGTAGAGGACATCAATACCCCTCAATTCACATGGGAGATGGGGGGGACCCTGAACTCCCTAAGAACACGTTCAGTCACCTGTACAGATGGAGGCTTAGAATAGAAATTGAGTTCAAGGAAACTAAAGAAAGCTACATTTCTCGTCCACATGCATTTATGGAATGAGTTTGCCACTGCCATAGGTAGTAACTATAAACAAGGTCTTGTGAAAACTTCTGGACTGTATGTACGATGCTTTGGATGACAGGTGTTAGCTCGGCCTGCTTTAGCTCAGCATAATTACTGCTTTGTTGAAATTTTATTTTTCTTACATAAGGAGCAAATTAGACTCTGATACACAGTGCCAGCACTAAATTGACTGACCAAGGGATAGATTACTCAAGTAAAACCCAGGAAGAGAATATACTTCATGGATATCACTTTGATTCTATATCTGCAGTTTTGATATCATAACCCATGTGCATATAGAACTGTAGGGGGACATGCGTACACACAGACACACACGTGCACACACACACGGACACTGTCTTCTGACACTTCACACACTGACATTTTTCTTTCTTTTTTCTTCATGCTACAGTGAACTGGAAGAACAAAAAAAGCTAAAGAAATACGTGCCCGCTTAGAGGCATATATGTGATGTGTGTGTGCGTGTATGTGTCTGCGTGCATTCATGCACCTTGCCTTGCTCACCCAGGGTCTCCGAGCTGCAGTTTCCCTCTTGGAGCTTTTCTTATCTATTTCAAAGCCCCTTCACAAGTTTAACACTGACAGTGAGAACAATGAAAAGTGAGCCGCAGTGTAGAAATGAACAGAAAGAAGTGACTGACTTTGGGCCACTCTGCTGGGGTGAATGGGCTATAAAACACAATTTTAGATTAAATAGATGTTTTATGTACAACGCGATATTGGTTTTGTTTCTGTAGGCAGAAGCTGAAGAATTGTGTGCCATCCATTTCTGTGTATGAGTGTGTGTGTGTGTGTGTGTGTCTGTGTCTGTGTGTGACCGTGTCTGTGTGTGACCGAGAACCTGGGCAGAATATGAGGGTGAGTTTTAGTTTAACTTAACTGCCCAGAAAGAGCTTAATGACTAATATCTTTGGCTTTCAATTCTTCTTAGTATCGAAATAATGCCTGTTCTTCTTTCCTTCTAACCTGTGTGCTTTCATGGTCTTTGTTGACTCCTTTTAAAAAGTCCCTGCTCTCTCCCTAGCACCAGTGACTGTGACATCACCCATCAGCTCTATACTCCACTGTGCCAGCCTCACACTTTCATCTTTGTCCTCAACCGAGTGGCGAGAAAGGCCACAATGATCTTCATAAGGGGGAAGACATTGGTGTTCCTCCATCATTTTACCACTAACACCACTTCCAACTCTCCAGAAAAAAAAAATAATAAGATGTACAAGGTCATGTGAGATTCTTCCTCCAAATCGCTGTTTGAAACTCACCTTCTGTAACGCAGTAAAGAAATGTGGGAACACTCCCATCCTCATGGTGGGTCAGCGTGGCTGTAGGCACAGCCGAGGTAAGGGATGTTTGCCTTCACGTTCCTCTATGTCTCTACCTCCGTAATCCTTATAGCAAGCCCTGTGTGGTCCCAAACTCATGGCCTAATATTTTCTAGAATGTTCCATTGAGCAGAAAAATGATCTGATTAGCTTATTTACACTAATAATTTCATACATTTGAAGTTAGGGAAAAAACTCTGAAAGATATTTTGTAATTGTTGGCAAGGATGAGGAGAATAGGCATTCTCTTTTATACTACTTGTGGGGGAGAATTTGGTATACAAAAGTCTTAAAAATCAGTCCACCCATTGATTCAGTAATTCCCTTTCTAGGACCTTATCTTAAGAGAATAATTGGAAATGTGCAGTGAAATGTATGCACTTGGATATTCACTGTAGTATAATTTATAATAGCTACAAACTGAAAATAGACTATTGTGTCTTTTCTGCTTCTTATAAGAACAGAAGTCACTGGATTTAGGGCCCACCTTAAACTCAGAATAATTTCATCTGAAGATCCTTAACTAATTATATCTGTTAATACTCTTTTTCAAAATAAGGCCACACTCTAAGGTTCCAGGGGGACATGAATTCTGGGGAGACAACACTCAACCCAACACAGGACAGGAACTGGAAAATGAAAAATTATAGGGAGTCCAAGGAGTTTCTTTCTTTCCATCTCTTGTCCCTGCTTCTCTTTGAAAATCTCCAATTATCCATACCTTAGTCAACTGTTCTGCTTCTCTTTCCTCCTGGGAAGATATGGCTGTTCCACACCTCCCTAAAATTGTTTATAACTCCACAAGAAATTGGGAGTCTATAGGCTCCAAATTTCATTTCCTAGGAGGGAGAATCTTCTTGGCTGAGCTTAGTGTATGGGTTCATTTGATGCCAATATATTTTGACCAGAAGAATCGAGCCACAGTGCTATCACAGCCGGGGAGCAAAGGCTATTCATTCTCTGCGTTGGCTTATGAGCTAAATGGATACCCAAAGAATATCTTATACACAGAGAATGGGTTAAATTATGGCAGAGCCTTATAAAGGAATACTATGCAACCATTAAAAATTGTTTTGCAGAAGAAATGCAAATGTCAAGGTAACATACTGATAATTAAATGAGACAAGCAAGTTATAAGACAATATATGTATATTATTCTCATGTGGTTAATATGCACACACACATATACACACAGAGTTAAGGATAGAAGAGTGTACACTAGAAAATTTATGGTACTATCACTAGATCATAGATTATGCGTAGGTTTTAATTTTTTCCCCACCAATTTACTTTTAAATCCCACTGAAAATTCTTTTAAATATATTTGATAAAGTATTTCTAACACAAAATAGTGACTTACCAATAGTGAAATTTAAGACATAAATTAGGTAAATTTGGGGGTAACACCATAGGAGATATCTATGGGGTTATTTGCCTAATGCACAAAGATTTCTCTTTCCCAGAATTTCAGTGGCACCATCTTTTGTAAACTCTGGATCCAAAGGGGTAGGCATATTCTACCATGTGGACCAGGGGAGCAGAGAAACTCAATCTGCAGAGAAGAGAAATGATAATAAAACTGATGTCAAAAGAGGTACAAAGACAAAACCACAGAGGGTCTGGATGACTCTTTAGATCTAATATAATCCCTTCCCAGGTCTCTTGATATTTCTGCTCCTGGGTTCTTTATGTTGATACTTTTTTATGCTGATAATAAATGTCTTTTTGTGTTTACATGAGCTTGAGTTGATTTCTGTTTCTTACAACCAAAGAGTTTTGACCAATACGAGACCCTTCACAGTTCCCGCAAAGCATAATTTGCAGGTGGCCACAGATAGGTATGCCTAGTTCTAAGCAGAGTTCAGTAAGCAAAATCCTCAGATATGAGGACCAACTTTCTGGATACAGCTAGGTCCCTGAGTGCCTAAGGCACAAGCCAATGAATAAAGGAAAAATAATAAAAGTAAGAGGTTGATAAGAAAGAAGAGGTAAGCAAGAGGCAGATGAAAGAGGATGCCAGTAGAGGGGAAAGCAAGCGTATAGGATGAGAGGGCCCTAGAATCTGGAATGACAATAGAAATTCCTTCAAAAGGCACTCCTGACCCTGGGTCATATTTTATTCAGATTAGGTCACCATCCAGCTTGCCTTTTATGAAGGACAAATTATTTCCAAAAATTAAAGAAGCCTTTGGCGACTTGATCTTCCTGGCTATTAGGTTGACCAGCATACCCTCCAGTTCCTGCTTCCTGACTTTCATTAGGCATTGCAATCTTCTGAAGGCCCAAATACTGGGTGTCTGGAGGAGATATTATCTCCTAATTCCACTTAGTATAGACAGCTGCAGGCTGGGCACGTGGACTCAGTTTCCTTTATTGACCAGAATCCAAACCAACATCTCACTCATCTCACAACACTTCAGCATCTCACAAGTTCTATTTCCCAGTTATCTCGAAGGAAACTGTATCCCAGGACTCTTAAAAAGTCAGGCAATGCTTCTCTGTGGCCATCCAGTTCCCAGTGTTCTACTGTCATTGTCAGTGGTTAAAAATCAATACCACATTAACAGATTACTATTTATTTAATAAAATCAGAATCTATGGGTCCACACTGATAGAAAAACAAACAAAAAATAAGAGAAAAGGAAATGGAATGTCAACTAAGAAGCGTTGCAGGAATCATAAG